TCTTAATTGGCGATCAGATTTGATCGATAAAGACCGCTAACAGGCCGTGAAGCAGGGCTGGCTCGGGCGGCTTGCGATGCTCGGGCTGCTTTCATCCTTTTCTATTTCCCTTCTTTTCTATTCCTTTTCTATTTTCTAATTCCACTTCTAGGGTTCCTATACTAGTATATGTGTATCCAATACTTGTGTACAAGCATTGGTGGGTCCTCTAGGTCCACTAGGGTCCACATTAGGGCTAAAGCCTTGGAAGCACTCACATATCAAATTAAGTTTAAAAGATGTTTGTCATGATTTTATTAACAAGCATAAATCCAAAAAGAAGCAACTCATGTTTGTTAATTAAATACATATGCTCAATCCTTCTACATTGGGTGCTACTTGTGCAACTATGAAGGTGGTTCCCTAGCATGTACACACCATACATGGGTTTTGTTAGAAAAAATTTAAGTTCTGATTTTTTGTTCTAGGAAAACCTAGGTTGTTACAGTGGTAGTTCCTCGATAACTTCAAATTTGGCTTTATCTACCTTGATCCCCCTCTCGGACACAAGGTGCCCAAGAACGATGCCTTCACATACCATGAAGTGGCACTTTTCCCAGTTAAGTACCAGGTCCTTTTCTTGGCATCTCTGCAAGACTTTATCTAGATTCTCTAGACAATGGTCAAAGGTTTTGCCATAGACTAAAAAATCATCCATAAAAATCTCCATGATTTCTTCTATCATGTCTGAGAAAATAGACATCATGCACCGTTGAAATGACGCGGGCGCATTACACAACCCGAACGACATTCTACGATAAGCGTATGTTCCAAACGGGCATGTAAATGTCGTCTTGCTCTGATCATCGGGGTGGATGGGAATCTAATGATATCCCAAATACCCATCGAGAAAACAGAAGAAAGAATGCTTCGCCAATCGCTCTAACATTTCATCAATGAAAGGCAGTGGAAAGTGGTCTTTCTTTGTTGCCGCGTTGAGTTTTCGGTAATCAATACACATTCTCCACCCCATGACGGTTCGTTGTGGAATTAACTCATTTTTATTGTTTTCAACGACCGTCATGCCTCCTTTCTTTGGAACTACTTGGACAGGACTAACCCATTCACTATGTGGTACGGGATAAATTATCCCGGCGTGAAGAAGTTTGAGGACTTCCTTCTTCACGACTTCCCGCATCGCATTATTGAGCCTACGCTGAGGCTCTCGAGATGGTGTACTCGAAGGGTCAATCGGAATGCGATGGGCACAGAGAGTTGGGCTAATCCCCTTGATATCTTGCAAAGAATACCCAGAGACTGACCTATGTTTTTCTAAGATGGCGATGAGTTTGGACGTCTCCTCATCAGAAAGCTTATCGCTAATGATTACAGGAGTTTCTTTATCACCATTTAGGAAAGCATAACGTAGGCCAGCGGGCAAGGGTTTTAGCTCAACCGAAGGTCATGCCGGCGCTTCCTCTTGGGGAAGATCAATGGTTTCTCCTAAGTCGTCGTCTTCTTCTACGAAGAGTTTTGCATCCTTTTCTAAGGATGACTCAGGGGAATCAAAGGGTAAAACCGACATGACTTCCTTGGATAGGTTAGGATAGGGGAGAGATTCTGCCACCGAGTTTTTAGCTCAAGTGATAGGAATGGTAAAGACGTCTCTCCCCAACTTTATGTCCAAATCCCCAGATGATGATGGTTCAAGAAACTTTTCTAGGGAACGCCCTATCATGACATCAAAATCTTTGATGTCAAAGACATGGAAGTCTAGGGAAATCTCTGTTTGCTCATGATATAAGGATATATTGTGATGAATCCCTAGACCTTCTAGTCTAAGGCGGGGTGCAATTCTGCAGGTTTTGACTATTGGAGCAAGAGGTTCATTGTCAAACAAAGTTGACGCAAAAGTTAAAGACATGATGTTTGCTCCAACGGTGGGATTGTAAAGCACTTCCACCATCATCCCACAAATTTTGCATTGAATAGTTGAAGAAGGTACACGAATCTGAATTTCTTCAGAAGAACATTCCACTTCCTCAGTCCATTCGTTGCTCAGAATCGTGGTCAACTCCTTAATGGACTCTTTTAGGACAATTTTGTCTAAGGGGTCCAAAGGGGTGACAGTAATAGGTGGTTTCTTTTGGTATGAGTAATTCGAGGTATTTCCAAAATCTTCGAAAAAATCATCCCCGAAATATGGAAGGTCCAAAGGTTGTAAACCTTCCTTCGGATCTACTAGTTTGGGCGAGGATCCCTCTAAGGATGTTATGGGTTCGGCCTCAGCCGAAGAGACTTCCTCGTGGCTTGGTTCGGGTTCTACACGGAGGGGTTCTAGCGGAGGAGTGTTCTCTAGAATGCGATCTAAGAGAGCTTCTCCTTCCACTATGGTTTTATGGGTAAACAAACCTCTGGCAGCTATATCGAGCTATAGGGCAGATTCCTTGCTAAGCCCTAACCAGAAATGTTGTAAAAGCACATGGTTGGGAATAGACAAGTCTGGGCCAGATCTCGTTAAAATTGAGAATCTGTCCCAAGCTGCACCTATGGTTTCCTTCTCTTTTTGTTGGAAGTTGAGTATCTCTTGTCATAGGGCAGCGATTCGTGATATAGGGAAGAACGCAAGACATAATATATTCCTTAGTTCTTCCCAATCGCCAGCTACCGTCCCTACATTATGGGTGTACCATTGCTTCGCCCTCTCATCAAGTGAGAAAGGAAACAACTTCCATCGAAATGTTTCTTGTGACATGCCTGAAATGGTCAGGCAAGCACAGAGCTGCTCAAACTCCCTTAGGTGATGATAGGGGTTTTCATAATTCAACCCCAAGATGGCTTGTTCTCGAACCATGGCTATAAAGCCAGGGCGGAGATCGTAACTTGAAGCTATGATTGACTTCAAGGATTGTGGTGGTTCTACGAACTCGCCATTGGGAGCAGAAAGGTTCAAAATGGTAGGTTGCTCCATTGGAAAAGGGTAAAAAGAAAAGAAGGGTAAAAACAAAGGATACACATGCAAACTAGGTTTGGAGACTAAAACAACAACCGTTCCCCGGCAACGGTGCCAGAAATGCTTGTTGGTGCTTCTTAGCGTAAGCAAAAAAGTCCACAAGCACACGAAAGTATCGTTGTAGCACTTCACCCGGTGGTATTCAGGGTATCGTATTTTCACGAGGAACGGAGGTGTAAGCAGTCTTTTGGCTAGTTTACCTAGGAGAACAAAAGGAATGATAACGCGGGTAGTGAGGTTCTTCTAAGGTCCAAAACCCTAAGTTGAGATATCTATGCCACTACAGACTTACTTCGGGCACCGACGTACACTTGGTCTGCCAAGCGATACCGGCCTACGGCTCTACACTGTAGCCGAACGTGGGAGATTACAAAGGACGGATAGGGCTATCACCACCTACCACCTACCCCTCAACAGTGGGATACGAGGCAAACGAAGGTAACGTGTAGCTTTGACACCACGTCTATGCTAACCGCTACTACTCTATCATTGGCCAGGAACTTCCGTCTTTATCAGGAGTCCTCTACTAGAGCACCCGCCACGAGGATGGACGACGAACCCGCAAGTAAGTACTGACAAAGATAACTTTTCTTAAGGGATCAAAACCAAAAGATGAACATGAACTTCTTACTCCAAGTAGTAAGACGAACGTAGAGGTACAAGTGTAGAGGGGGCCGACAAGTCCGGCACTCCGTCCACCCGATGTACAAGGCTTGCCGAGTACAAGAAGTAGAGGGTACCGCTACTCCGTTATTCCTCTAACTCTTTCCCTCTCACTCCCTAACTAGTCTAGCTAGAAGCTAATGAGATGTATGTAGCCCTTCTTCTTCTCCAAAATGTGTATGATTCTGAATGTGAGGAGGGGGGCTCCTTTTATAGCTTGAAGATGGTCGGTTAGCTTAGGTATTTTAGGAAACACCACATGCAACCGCCTCCTGGGACATTAATTGCATCGCCTGAGCAAGGTGGGGCCGAGCGGAGCTGGGGGTGGTGCGCCCGCACCCTGGGCCGGCCCTCTCGCCACCACCTTGCTCTGGTGGGTTGCTGGCTGGGCCTGGATGGCTCCTACGCTGGTGTCCTGGGCCAAGTGTGGAGTTTGGATGGGCTTGCTTGTTGTTTTGCTTGAATGCGCCTTCTCGATTACGCATTTTGGTGTATTTTCATGTATTGCCCTGCAAAACATATACATACCAAAACTCGTAGAAAATGTGAGTTGTAAACCCTAATTCTAAGTTTCGGTGTTCATATTTGTTTTATTTTGTTTAAATGTTGGTGATAGAAATATGAGTTGAGTACCGCCAACACAAAGCCAAAGAAGTCTAGAATCTGGATCGGCCAAGGGCCAACCCTGCATCACGTATTCACATGTGTCTCTGTCTGGCCTGGCCTTCTGGCGACGCGTGGAATCGAGCAGGCAGCGGACGAGGAAAAGGAAACAGCCACGACATCAGTCTCTCCCCCGATCGAGTTGCCTGCTGCTTTCTCTCGATTAATGGAAGACGCACACGAATGGGGGCAAAACTGAATGTGATAGAATTTGCTAAAGAGATGGAATGCCCTATGTATGACGCCATATCTTACGCCAAAGAACCTGCCAATCTGCCATGCGAGCACGGTTTCATGGGAACCGCACTATCACTACGGTGTGCTGTCACTTGTCACTCTCGAGAAGGGTCCTATCTATCGGATCTCCCACTCTTAAATCCACATGATGACGTGAAACAGAAACTTCGGCCAAGATGGTTCACACCTGCCTGTCTCCCCTGCCATTCCTGTCTGCTTCTTCTTCTTCCGCTTCTTCCCTGTCTCCACTACACGTCCACACTCTGCCGCAAGCTCACATGGCCCCATCCGCAACGCTAGCCTGAAACTCTCGCCAGATCTCACCATTTTCAGGCCCTTTTATCGTCGCACGTTGTAGATTCTTTACAAGTTTCTCTTGGGCATGAGCCCTTCTCTTCTGGCTTCTGCAGCGTGTTCATCCACGAGCCAGCTCCCTAGCTTCCTGATGGAGCCATCGTCTTCCTCTCGCCGCAGCAGACCTCACGGTTCCGGCTCTCCCTCTCCCACGGCCACGATACGACGTCTGTGTCTCCTTCTGCTCTTTGTTCTTCAGACCTGCGGCCGCCCGGCCCCGGCGGTATCATCAGCAGCAGCCTCGCCGTCGCCGTACCTGGTGGGCGTAGGGAGCTACGACATAACGGGGCCTGCGGCGGACGTCAACATGATGGGGTACGCGAATGCCGAGCAGATCGCGTCAGGAATCCACTTCAGGCTCAAGGCGCGCGCGTTTATCGTCGCTGAGCCTGACCCTGGTGGGAAGCGTGTCGTGTTCGTCAATCTTGATGCCTGCATGGCGTCGCAGCTCGTCACTATCAAGGTGCTCGAAAGGCTGAAAGCAAGGTGAGACTGACGATCTGATCACCCCCTTGCCTTGATTGCTTCAATCTCTCTAGCTTCATCATCAATGGCGATGGTGGAGCTGACTGTCAATACTTGACTGCGTTGCCAGGTACGGTGACCTTTATAATGAGAAGAATGTGGGTATCAGCGGAATCCACACCCATGCTGGGCCAGGAGGTTATCTGCAGTACGTGGTTTATATTGTCACATCTCTCGGGTTTGTTCGCCAATCATTTGATGTGATCGTCAACGGCATTGAGCAGAGTATTGTTGAAGCTCACAGTAATCTCCGTCCTGGTAAAATATTTGTAAACAAAGGTATATAAAATTATCCGTGTCTTCCAGGAGACTAACTAGGATTTTTTTTTTCAAGCACATTGGCACTATAAATGTTAAAACTTTTAACTGGTCGGATTATTTATTTCATAATCTATTTCTGATCATTCTTGGGAATCTCTTATTGATCAATGTCCTAAAGTTTTTAGTATTATACATCCTAGTCTCTTGTCTCTATGTCATGGATGCTACAATGGTTTTTGGTTATTACAAATACTACATGACCGATGCCGGGACATGATTTTCAGGTGAACTCCTTGATGCTGGTGTGAACCGCAGCCCAAGCGCATACCTGAACAACCCTGCTGATGAGAGAAGCAAATATCAGTACAATGTCGACAAAGAAATGACACTTGTTAAGTTTGTAGATGGTGAAATTGGTCCAATTGGGAGTTTCAATTGGTTTCCAACCCATGGGACATCAATGAGCCGTACAAATTCTTTGATTAGTGGCGATAACAAAGGTGCAGCTGCACGGTTCATGGAAGATTGGGCACAACAGAATGTTGTTCCGAAGCAGGCGGTTCATGTGAGTTCTGGGCATCCGCGAAGAGTCTCCGCACTAATTCCTGAACCAAATGAGATAAGTATGTTGCATTGCTAGTGGTGGATCAGATTAGATTATGTATCGGATTAATAAAAATTAAAATATCCTATAGGTTATGGCTAAACTACTTTTTTATTGCCTTTTCTTTTTCAGCTGATGACGACTTAATACGATTGGCATCATCCTACAAGGTCTCAGGTGGTAGGCAAATATCTGGTTCAAGTATCGCCATGCGCATTTGAAGCACTGAACAAAACAAGCTCAAATTTGTTTCTGCATTCTGCCAGTCAAACTGTGGAGATGTTAGTCCAAATGTCTTGGGAGCATTTTGTACAGACACCAACCGTCCTTGTGACTTCAATCACAGTACATGTAATGGGAAGAATGAATTATGCTACGGACGAGGCCCAGGGTATTCTTACGCAATCATTACAGTTGAAGCTTTCATATTCTTATTCATATTTGGAAGAACTCATTATAGATTGGGCCTTACATTTTGCTTGCTGCAGATATCCTGATGAATTTGAAAGTACTCGTATCATTGGCAATAGGCAATTCCTCAAGGCTGTTGATCTTTTCAATTCAGCTTCTGAAGAAATACAGGGCAAAGTTGATTACAGGCATACCTACCTAGATTTCTCGCAACTCGAAGTGAATGTTTCTGCAAGCACAGGAGGTCAGCAGATGGTGAAAACATGCCCAGCGGCCATGGGGTTTGCCTTTGCTGCTGGAACCACAGATGGCCCTGGAGCTTTTGATTTTAAACAAGGAGATGTCAAGGTTGGTTCTACTGCAAATCAAACACTAGCCTCACAAATTTCGTTGGCATGCTATGACGGTTTTTTTTTAATCCTTCGTTCGTTAGGGAAACCCGTTCTGGAGGTTAGTACGAAATGTACTTAGGCCACCGGGCCCAGAGCAAGTGAAATGTCAGGCTCAGAAACCAATACTGCTAGATACCGGTGAAATGAAGGTTCCATATGATTGGGCAGTAAGTCTTCTTTTTTCTCATTACGAGCATATACAGACATACAGTACAAGCTTGTAAAATATAATACTAACTGAGTTGAGGCTTTAGTTCAGAGCTTAATCATAGCCAATATCAACATATTTATGATCGACACGTGTCACTGGCTATGAGCCATAGACTAACTGTCAGTTTATCACTGACTCAGAACCAAGTAATTATCCAACTGAATTTGCTCAAATTTAACTGTCCTCTATTGAATTATGTATTTTTATATGCAGCCTGCGATACTTCCAATTCAGATCATAAGAATCGGTCAGCTGGTTATCTTGTGTGTCCCTGGAGGTATATATTCCTGGTTCTTTGGCAGTGCATGTGATGTCTTGATCTACTGACTTTTCTTATGATATCCAAAACTCATATCATGATGTTTTCATGGTTATTTCGGTTCAGAGTTCACAACAATGGCTGGGAGGCGGCTACGTGATGCTGTCAAAAATGTGCTAACAAACAGTGGTCAGTTTGATAACAATGTTCATGTTGTTCTCACAGGGCTAACAAACACATACTCTCAATATGTCACAACTTTTGAAGAATATCAGATTCAAAGATACGAGGTGTGTATATTTTTTTCTTTAAAAGAACAAAACGTTGAATGAAATGGCTTAATTTTGCTTGACATCTGTCTTCCCACGGTGTGTTTGTTAGTTAATTAAGTACTTAAATATATGAATTTTATAACTATCTTATATCAGGAAAAATTAACAATCTTATTGGTATAGCTGAACTGCACTTGGTCCTCTTTCATTTGTTGTATCTTTGCATCCCTGTCCTTTGTTGTCATGTTTTTTTTCCACATCCCTGCTCAATCTAGAAGTCAGACAATAATAGATCTATTTCAGAAATTGTTGTTAATGAACATCTTTACTAGTTACTAGTATATGGACACATTACAAATACAGACAAATGCGTTTTTGCAGGGAGCATCAACGTTGTATGGTCCTCACACCTTGAGCGCCTACATTCAAGAATTCCAAAAACTTGCTACAGCCATGGTTACAAACAAAGAGGTTCCAACAAATCTGCAGCCTCCTGATCTACTAAACCGGCAAATTGGCCTGCTCCCAGGTGTCATAGTTGACGAGACACCTCGTGGCGTCACGTTTGGAGATGCCAGGTCGGATGTCCCTGCGAACTCAACCTTCAGGAAGGGCAGCGTTGTGAATGCTACATTCTACTCGGCCTGCCCAGGGAATGACCTCCTCACCGACGGTACCTTTGCGCTCGTTGAGAAGCTGGATGGCGGCAGCGATTGGGTTCCTGTCTATGATGACGACGATTGGTCGCTGCGCTTCAAGTGGTCAAGGCCTTTCCCGGTGAGCCCAATGAGTTTTGCAACGCTAGAGTGGACAGTTCCTGAAGATGCCCCATCCGGTGTTTACAGATTGAGACATTTTGGTGCCTCTAAGCCGCTGATTGGGTCCATCAACTATTTTACAGGGACCTCTAGTGCATTTGTAGTACGTTAAGTGGTTTTTTTATCTCAAAAAATACGCAAAAGACTTACATGTCACTGTATTAAGGTAGAAGAATTTTGAATACAACACATGTTCGGAAACAGTACGTTAAGTGGTACAGTACACCTATAAAATTCACACCATCCAAAAATTTTCCCTTTGGTTTTTACATGTATGTATTTGATGTTAATAACATCATCCCCTGTCATTTTAAACTGGTGTTCTTGATGGAAATACGCGTAATTTTTTTATTTCTAAGAGGCAAACATTACTAAATTCAAACGTTAAGGCTAGCATCTGGACGTTCGGCCGTACGCCGCTCCCGCGCCCCGTGCCCGTATCGCATCTCACACGCCCCGTTCCGTTCCCATCAAGCACCATCGTCCGGAACCGCACCCTGCGCCCGCACAGCGGAACCATGCCCAGCTCCCTCCTGTGCCCGCAACCAGCGCCCATCCCGCGCCTGCATGGCAAAACCACGCGCCCCGCACCCACCTGCCCCGCATGCGGATGCGTGCGCGGAGGCGTCTACCAGCCTCAGGCACCCGCACGCGAACCACGGCGGTGCCTCAGCAGCAACCGTAGGTAGACGACGACCTGCAACACCCGATCTACTTTTGAAACATTCAGATGAAATATTTGCAACATAAATCTAAAACGGATGAAGCACTTGAAACGTGCGCTTGAAACATGCGTGTGTAGCCATTGCAACATGTGCAACACCAAAATCTACTATTAAAACATCCAGCTGAAATATTTGCAACATACATCTAAAACACCTGAAACACTTGAAATATAGGCTTGCAACATATGTATTTTGACATTGCAATATATGCAACACCTGATATCTACTTTTACAATATCCAGTTGAAACACTTGAAACAAAAGTCTTAAACAGCCAAAACACTTGAAACACAGCGTTTGCTCGCGCGGCCCCAACCTACTTGGTGGGAAACCGTGGTATCGGCGGCGACCTCCTCCTGGTGGCGTCGGGGTGGTGGTGGCGGTGCATGCCATGGCCGCGACGGCGAGGTGGATGGGGCCGCGGCAGGGGACGCCCCGCACGGCGGGGCACGAGGTTGGGGCGGGTGTGATGTGGGATGGGGTGCAGCAGGGAATGGCCACGGCAGGCGAGGCAGATAGGGGCAAGCGGACGGCGTGTCGTGGCCACGGCAGGCGGATGGCACAGTAGACGCGGCTGCTATGGGCGGATGGAGCTCTGGACGCGGCCGCTGCAGGCGGACGGCGCGGTGAAAGCGGTCGCGATGGTCGGGAGTGGGGAATTCTGGATGATGCGCAGTTAGATGAGTTGTGGAGCGAAATCGGTTCGAGAGGCACAGGTCGATTGACGTTGGGCCCGATCGCTCATTAGCGAAATTCAAACAGCACTGATAGATAGCAATTCAAGCCAATAGAATTGGTGGTCACGCAAGGATGTTTGAGACCACTGTACGTTCACATAAATGCAGGAGAAAGAAAAATCAATCAGGGACTAGAGTGGGGTTGAAAAAAATTTAAATCAAAACTTGCAGCAGAATCAACACTCGAACTAGATGTCCGGTGTATAGTGAATATATACGTGCGCGCGCACACACACACGTTGGAAACCAGATGTCCAGTCAGATTAACGAATTACCTACGGGATCTACAAATTTGGCCTAACAAAATTTAAATCTACTTGTTACCAGGCCTCAATTAGATGTGTAAAGTTCCTTGCACTCAAGTATACTTAAAAAAGTAGATTGAGTAAAGTTTCCACGAGTCAACGAGAACAAGCTCAAGAACATGAACAACGCAAGATTGAAGGAGAACAAAGAAGTGACTACATCCTTCTTGTTGAGGAAGCCGCCAAGACTTGGGACTCCTCGAACCCTATCATCTTCTCAAGTGAAACAAATATCAAGCTCTGAAGCTCAAGGGTTCTTACTAAAATCGTCAGAGTGATACAAACTTCCTGGAGTGCTCTATAAGAGAATGGGTGATGGACAACTCCTTACCTGTTAGAATTCCACGAATCCAATACTAACACATCTAAATTAATGCTTTCAAAGAGTCTCCAAATGCTCAAGAGGATATGAATGAACTTCTTCCGTTCAAGTCTTCCAGCCCCAACCTCTCCCACTCAAATCTACACTCCAAATGTCAAATCCCACAAGAGTTTAGCTCAGAGGTGGATGAGAGGGAGGAATGAATGGTATGATCTATGTCTCAAAGTGGTTTAGGAGTTAATGAGGGAGAAGTATATATATACTCAGCCCTCTAACCATTACTGTGCACGTGTGTGTATTAGACGTCATGTCCAAGAGTCAAAAGTGCACAAAACTTAAAGTCGGACCTCCAGTAGTGACCGGATGTCCGATGTCTGGACAGAAACTCACAATTGGAGACCACAGGTCCAACACTCATATATATCCTTACTGGACCTCTGGATGTCTGGCCCTACCTGACAAATTCAGCAATTTAAAAGGCTATATGAAGGGTTAGTGTCTCTTAAGATTATGTTAGCGATCCTTTAAGCATGGAGACACCAGCAAGAAAGTCAAACTGGATCCCATTTAATCACGACATTTTCTATCACTTAAATTCAAAATAGAAATAAATTAAATCTTTCAACTTTTATCTCCAAATGCCATATTTAGTTATACACTAGTTGAGTACCCGTGTGTTGCTACGGTATACAAAACATCTCATGCCATACAGCCACACGAGTAGAAATCTCATACGAGAAAAAGGATATGTTAGAACTTAGAAATACTATAATCAACAAGTTTCAATTATATATAATTTGTACATCCAATCAATAACATGTCAACAAGTCATAACTACTTGTCTCTCATTTCTTTCCGACTTCCTCTATTACCTGAATTTCAGATGTAGGTGTTGCTCCTTTCTCTCCTTTCTTCTTTTATATGCTTCTCAATCTTTTCTATTTGTTTCGTCCCTTTTCTCTTGAGACATTGCGTGCCATCGAGCGCTATCCGTTTCCCTTTTGCGAACTCTAGATCTGCCTGTTCACAGTCATGAATTGGCCATGTTACATCATGTAAAATTATAATGTAGTAAAATGATGTTTCGTAAGAGTACCTCCATTGGTTGTGTTGGTATTGTCTCCGAGTGGTGTACGTGAACCGCTATACTCCATTTAATGGAACCCTAAAAAACTGTAGAACATATTTTTCATATTAGTATTTATCGGATTGTTAGCAATGTCTTTTCAAAAAACTATTGGTGTATCTCATATACTCAAGGAATTCCTATACTCAATCCGATGAACTATTGAAAGTTACTTGGTGTTTGCCTATTCCTCTCCAGATTGCAGCATGAGAAAAAACTGAGATATACAATTATGGCCATAATTCAGCTTTGGTTAAAAAAATATATCATAAATGCTGAATGACAAGATATACTGAAAGATTTGTGCTCAGTTTAATTTTAACAATGTCAATTGGCAGTTTCAGTCATGGTACATGGAAGTTCAGAAAGTGAAGGCAAAAGAATATTTGCTGAATTGTCACCTTGAGACAAAGTACCAAGCAAGTAGGTTTGAAATTGAGGGAAAACAACTCACTCCAAATTTAGTAGGAAACTTAGTCACCTTGACGACAACACAGGAGCAGCCTAGAACCTTCCTCGGCTAGCGCTTGGAGGCTCATCTTGTGCTTGTAGCTAGTGTCCTCCCTGCATAACAAAGCAAAACAAAACGAAGCGGACATTAGTCCTAGATACAAAGGAACTCAGCTTTGAAAAAAATCAAACCTACAATAAAGTTACATCTCTTTTGTTCACTTTAGTAAGGTCCCAAGTGGGCAGCTGGGAAATATGATCATAAGAGGAAAATCATAGTATATACATCACTGAGATTATTTCACCGATTCATGCATGAGTGATCGCTGTAATTTAAAGTAGCTACTTACGCATGACTCTGATGCCGTCCAAGAGTACTGTTCTACAGTATTTATATAATTGCAGCATATAACTAATTGGTTCTTTTACCGTCTGGCCCAAATGTCAGTAACTACTGAAAATAAAATACATTAATACAAAAAAGAAAAAAGTTGCCCTCAATTAGCATGGAACAAGGATGATGTGTCAAACTCAATGCAACCTTCTATGTGATCCATTTAAAAGCTTACTGGAAACAAAACAAAAAAAAAAAAAAAACCTTGCTAGCTGTATTCCCAAACAAATCTAAGCAGTCCACTACATTAAGATAGTTTTCCTTTTGCCTATATATAATCATATTTGTTTGTTACTGGTAACACCAAGAGAGGCAGTATAAGCTAGTCCACTACATTAAGCTAGTTTTCCTTTTGCTCTTACACATCACGGTATAACAAAGCTCAGCTCAAGCTTAGCACAATGTAATTTCAGAAAGAGGGAGAGAAAAGAGTCCAGCAAAACGAAGGCAACAGGAAGCATAGCCACTTCTGTACAACAAAGTTACATTAGTAAAATACTTCTGTACCCACTTCAATCCAATGTTTTCAGGACGGCTGGTCGAGCCTGGACGCCTGAGGACCGTCCAGGACGTCCATGACGATTAGTCGTCGTCCAGGACGATTAATCGACCCTGGACGAGTCCCCTGGTCGTCCCGGTCGTCCCCTACATATGGGGACTGATATATACCATGTATATATATATTATATAGTTATATATACAGTATAAATATATACCATATATATATATATATATATATATACACACACACACTAGTATACTACATGTTCTAGGCTCTACTGCTCTAGATAGATAGGTCAGCTGGCCACTTACCTGGCTGCTGCAGAGCCCTTTCTTGTCTTGTTGGCTGCTGCTGCAAAACTGAAATTATAGAAAAATAAAGCACATTAACAAAGGCAATTAGGTGAAAGGCAATGAAGTGATCAACAAAGCAAATTAACACAGTAAAGCACATAATTTAAACCAGTCCAGAACTGCATAGTGCATAGTGGCACACTGCCACTGTCATAGTGCATACTGCATAGTGCATACATCAAGTCCAGTACATAAATAGGCAAAATGGCCAATGATAAGAACTACTCAAGTAAATCAGCATCTACACGAAAGCCTCCTCCATCTCCACGGGTGTCTTCATCCTCCTCCATTGGTACCACAGGATCAGATGCATGTTGATCTTCTTGGGCATCATGGTCACTATCATCTTCTTCCCCTCCAGATATATCTGGTGCTGCAGAAGTCCTCCTAGGACGCTTCTTGTTCCTAGTGTAAATCTTCTGGACATTGGCTGCAGCACGGGTAGCAAAGAAGAGAAACCCTAATGGGCTTGGGCCAAAATATAAGACAACTAGATAGGCCCAACTCTGAGATGCAGCCCACTCTCTGGCTGGACGCCCACACAGCCTGGACGGATGATTAATCGCGACTGGACGACGACTAATCGGACGTCCAATTTCCTGGACGGTCTGGCCGAGTCGGAGGCCCTGGTCGAGTAGCTCCAACCGTCCAGGACGATTAGTCGCGATTAATCGGACGTCTTGAAAACATTGCTTCAATCACATGCTATTCAACAGAAATTTGAACTTTAAAGGCCAGTCTGCCTTCGTACAAGCAAACTGATAACTCTCTTAAAAAAATAGAACCATGGCAATAGAGACTTACGATACATGGCAATTTAGAACTATGACAAGATCTCTCCAGCAAATAGAATCATAAGTGAAGCATAGACAAATACATGGGTTTTTTTAAAGCAGCTTCTCAAAATCAATTTCTGGAGGTTTGCAGACTCAAGTTGCTGGAGCATAGGAACATATGAGTTCAGAAATTTGTAATCCTCCGAATGTACCTTACATTTTGCACAGTTTAAGTTCATTCAGCATATTAATGGAGTAACAACCATGTAAAGCAAATTCACTTTGATAAAAGAATGGATAGCAGTAAAGGAAGCACCATCATGTCAATGTCCAACATACTTTTTCGCCCCATCGTCAACTAATGCAGAAAGGTGGATTAATCTTTGAATGGAAGAACAAAAATAACAACCTTTGCACCAAACGTGGGATAATCTGACCAAACTACATAGGAATCAACCACGCGGAAATCTTTAAGTAGCCATTTTTTAGCCTGTTGGCTGATGGCTGAAAAGCTAAAATAAACAGAGAATAAATAGGCTTTAGGAGGGGAGGGGTCAACTCTAATTAGATACTTGCAGCTGCGTTGACTGCTCAATGGCATACAATTCAGAAAAGGTAGAATATCATCGCTCTTCATGAGCACTCCATTCACGGATTCATGCCCTAGCTTGTTTGCATTAGGGCCTCTTTGAAATGTAGGGATTTCACAGGAATCTAACAGGGAAAACACATGAATCAGTTCAAATTCACAAGAAAAAACACAGGATTCAGCAAAAATCCAGCGTCCCAAAGGGGCCCTTAGCAGGGCACCACACAACACTCTAACCGACAACTAACTGAATGGGTGGAAGAAAGTTCTGGATTAGATTGACAACCGAATTAAATCTTAGAATAAGGAAATCATTCTTCTCCTATTTTGTTGCTGCTGTTGGCTGCTGCCAAATGGTAAGTTAACTCCAATTTCAACATCAGCATGCCCCTAATGCCAAGTTCTGAAATGAGCACGTAAGCAGATTTTTCTTGATTGGGAAACTTTCAGTGCACAGAACATTCAGAGCAAAGCAAACAGACTGCAGGCGCAGATCCAGTAAAGAACATGGGTGTGCACATGTATGCATGATAATCTTTGGAAGGAATCGAAGTTAGCAGGCATAATACATGTGCGCACATGTAATTAGAACACATTCGAATTCAAAATAGCCAATTAGTTTAATAGGGGTTGGGTGATCCGTTTAGCACAGCAGGAAGGGAAGAGAAGGGGTTGGCACACCTGGTTGTTCTCCACACCGGAGAAGTGCGGCGACGTGGCGGGAACGGCGTCGGTGCGTCGCGGTGGCGGCGGCCTGGCGAGGTCGTCCAACGGCTTCGCAATCGCGGGCACAGGGGTCGCAGGCGTCGCATCGCGTCCGGCAGCGGCCCGTCCAACGGCGGCGGTGGCTTTGCGAGGTCGTCCTCGCTCGTCCGACGGCTTCGCGGTCGTGGGCACAGGGGTCGCAGGCGCCCGCGTCTCTTTCTGCAGCGGCCCGTCCGACGGCGGCAGCGGCTTGGCGAGATCGTCCGGCGGCTTCGCGGTCGCGGGCGCAGGGGGCGCAGGCGTCGCTAGGGCCGGGGCGGCGGCGGTGGAGACGCTCGGGGATGCGGCGGAGTCGGGAGTTTTTTTAGTCTCGGCCGAGCGGGGAACTGCCGGGGTGGCATTAGCGAAGAGGTATTGGGTGGGGCCGTCGGAGAGTGGCATTTGGAGGAAGTTTCCATCGCTCACAGGGTCAAACGTACGGGGTGAAGCGATTAAGACTAATCTGACGGTAACATCCGGTTCTTTTTAGTCGGAGAGATATCAAATTTAAGGGGTCACCAATCATCCATACATTTAATCCATAGTCATATAACATGCCCAATCACTTACCTGTTCGCCTGGACTTGTTTGGCTTATAAGCCGTATTTTTTAGCCAATGAATAGTATTTTTCTCTTACACCAAATCAGCCAACAGTACTTTCAGTCATGCCTTATCAGCCAAATAAGCCCAAGCGAGCCGGACGAATTAGTATAAGGATTAGTTCTTTAATTGTGTGTCATTAATCCATCAAAATCCACAATAGGCGATTTTTTTTAATTTTAACCATTTTTGAATTTAATTTTAAATCTAACACTGTTGGATTTTTTTTTAACTAACACTTTTGGCCGCGTCTATTGCCCTGGCGTGACCAAATGCCTGTGCCGCGCCATGCATGGTGACACGGCGAGAGGGATGACGTGGCAACGACCGAGACGCTGACTGATGCCATGGCAGGATCTACCGCGCCACCGATCTTGGCGCGGCAGTGACACGCCATCCCTGGCGCCTACTGTGTGTATCCATTCGTCTGTGAATATACTACTACTCGGTCGTTGGCGTGGCACTACTCGGAATGTATCCAAGGATGGCGTGTCACTGCCGCGCCAAGATCGGTGGCGCGGCAGACCCTACCACGTCATCGGTCAGCCTCTCGGTAGTTGCCACGTCATTCCTTTCGTCGCGCCACCATGCATGACGTGGCACAGGCATTTGGCCGCGCCAGGGTAATAGGCGCGACCAAAAGTGTTAGTTTAAAAAAAAATCTGGCAATGTTAGATTTAAAATTAAATTCAGAAAAGGGTTAAAATTAAAAAAAATCCAACAGGCTTAGCAAGGCGATCACTGTTTTCCTCGGTGAGGTCCTCACTCTACTCTTGTTCTCTCACCAGTCACCACCCATCGTTTTCATCCTTCTGGCCCCACCTCTTTTGGGGCCTGTTTGATAGAAATGGTGATGATCATAAAATTAATGCATATGCTTAACACGGGGGTTTGACAAAGGAAGCTTTTATTATGTTTCAAGATCTTTACGTTGAGTTGGTCCGTTCGCTGCTCTGAAACTTGACTGAAAATATTTTCCTTACCAAAATTTTGTCAGAGAAAAATACTATTTCAGCTTAAAAAAAACCGAACAACATAAATATCGTACCAACCGAACGAGCCCTGAGCTCATGTGTGTGTTATTAATTATTATCCGACAAATTCGTGGGAGACATCGGCCTGGGCACGTCAGATGGATCAACCTGTTTGTGCCTCACGCTAATCACGTCTGACGTCTGCGTAGCGTATACGGAGGCCAAAGGACCCACACGATCTGATAGTCCCCGAAAGAACCGAGGTTCCACCAAATTCCCAACTGTGACATTATCTTGTAAAAAATTGAAATTTAATATCACATGAAATTTGCTCATCTCATGCGACAAAATATGGTATTTAAATGAAATTTTAAATGTTGAGCATCTTCAAAAATCAAAAACTAATTGCATAGTTTGATTGATGAGTTTACAATTGAGGCGAAAATTTTAAGCTTAATTAGTCAACAATTTTTTTTGACAATTATTACAAACAAAAAAACAAAAAATGAAAATTCAAAAAACTAAGGCCTTTTTAGATGGCGAAAAAGAAAAAAAATGAAACTGTTGAGACTTTTTCGTTTGTTATTTTAGCAATGGAGGTAGTTTCAAATCATAGTCTAATGAAGGTTGAAAGATCATACTTTCGCTGAATTTCATCTGTAAAAGTGTTAACCCTTTAATTATTATCCGACAAATTCGTGGGAGACATCGGCCTGGGCACGTCAGATGGATCAACCTGGTTGTGCCTCACGCTAATCACGTCTGACGTCTGCGTAGCGTATACGGAGGCCAAAGGACCCACACGATCTGATAGTCCCCAAAAGAACTGAAGTAAGCACCGCAATGATGAGTGAGATAGTCCAACGAGCCGTCCAAATCAGAGCGCTTTGCAGCACACGTCGCTGAATCTTGTCCGGACTGAACGAGTTACCCTGCCAAGCAAACGCCGTTTCAGGGGAAGCATACACGTACACACACCCATTATCGCTACAGAACAAGCACGAGTCAATCACTTACGCAGTTATCATTAATTAATTCAGTACACAAATTTGTTTATTTTCTGCAAGAGGATCCAGATCTACTCATTGTTAAAAGCCAGCAGACAAGATGGAGTTGGAGCAGATGGTGCCGCAGTGGGCTAGAGTGATCTTCAAGCTCGCACCTCCCATGACCCATGGTGAGTTGGTGACTGACAAGAGTGTTCAGAACGGTTTGATGCAAACCGGGCTCAACCCAGCTACCCAAGTCATGCACTAATCATGAATAGAGACTTTAGTACAGTGGTTAAATCTTGCAACAGTCTGTATCAGTCACTGCCCGTTTCACCTTTTTTGTTTCCGAACCATAACTTCTTCTGGGCAGTGTATCGAAGCTGCCCTAAAATGATGGACTCTATCTCCAGGGGCGCAATATATCGTACCCGCCCTGGATCTTATAGGAACAGTTGCTGAGACCAGTGAGAAAGCATGATTTTTTTATTCCAGGGCCGGATTGCTGTCAGGTTCTCCATCGACTCGAGCAAAACAGAAGCCGAGACATCGTTGCAATTGTAAACAACTGCGGAACTAACTCCTCTGGGCTCGTGTCGCAGCTGTTCGGCGCACTACGGTCTTGTTTGGTTGCTGTCACCTCTAAAAGCAAGAAGCAAGGGCCTGGATTGCTGTCCGGCTTGACAAAATTGCCTAGACAAGCAACCAAACAACCCGAGGAACGACGGTAGATATCCTACTATGGGTAGTGTATTATTTCGTCACATCCTATTACCAAAGCAGTCTTCCCTTTATGCATACACACTCTATTTTAGCTATACTTTCATATCACAGTGATCTAAAATTTACTAATGGACCTCATACAATTCAACAACATTTCAAAATACATAATTTTGAAATCCAAATTCAAAACTAAACTAGTTCAATTGTCGGTGGGTTTCGTCATTCATCGCCCTTGGATTACAGGTTGAATGGGGACGTTTGGTTCTTTGCCTCACCTTGCCTCGCCTGGTTACACGCACAACGACGACCTCGCCAAGGCCGGCGAGCCGATTTCACTCTCTGTCACTAGCAAGGCAAAACTTGTTTGCACGGACTCCAAGCCGATCAAGGCAGAGAACCAAACGCTCAGGTTCATTTGGCACCTTTGCTTGGCCAGGCTAAATAGTTCCCAGCGAACTAACCAAACGCGCCCGAAGTTGCTGCCCCGTGACAGACAAGTTTACGGACCTTGTCGATAAATAATCCTTGTTTCGTTTTGGAACAAATTTCAACCCGATGAACAAGTAGCACTGTTTGTCACTAGCAAGGCAAAACTTGTTTGCACGGACTCCAAGCCCATCAAGGCAGAGAACCAAACGCTCAGGTTCATTTGGTTTTTTTTGCTTGGCCAGGCTAAATAGTTCCCAGCGAACTAACCAAACGCGCCCGAAGTTGCTGCCCCGTGACAGACAAGTTTACGGACCTTGTCTAGCAAACAAGCCTGAATTCTCAATCTGTCCAAAGAAGTTGGAGACTGGGAATATTTCATACTAGGTTTGATATGATCATCTTCCGTTGGGCTAGCTACAACGATTTCTGTGATCCACTACTCCTTTCATCGATCAATTCGCCGAGTTGTCCCAAGTTAATTATTTTAAGTTTCACCAAATTTATTGGAAAAAATACTAAAATTTATGACATCAAACTAATATTATTAAATTCACTACGAGATATATTTTCATAATTTGTTTATTTTGATGTGTTGTATTTTTTTGTATAACTTTGGTTAAACTTTTAAAAAGGTTAATTTAAGATATTCGCGAAGGCGAACTTTTCTTGCGGGCAGGCAATTCAACGAGCGCCCAGAGCGGAAGCCGGGGTGAAGCAGAAGCCGGAAAGACCGACGACGCGGGACCGGTGAGCAGCGAGAGCGGGCCAGGTTCTCTACCGCCCCCGACGAAAAGCTCACGGGCTCTAGCTAGTTTGGCTCAGCCTCTCAGCTCGGCTTCCCTCGCTGCACAAAGGCTTCTTCGGTTCTTCCCCGGCTTCGTCACCATCGGTCCACATCCGCTCCGCTCCGCTCGCCCCCATCCCCCAACACGCCAAATTCCAACCGGGCTCGCCTTAAAATAGTTGCACACTGGCAGTGGCAGGGGTGCAGCGGAGCTGCACAAAGCCGACGCCATCCCAGTCCTACGACTACGAGGCGCCCCCGCTCTCGGAATTTTCAGCGGGTCGCGTCGCGTTCCGTGCGGGGTGTCGCAGTGCCGAGGTATAAACGGCGGCGTAGGCGGCCAGTCACTGCGGTCGCAGCAGCAACTGAATCCTCCGGGGGGGAGGAAGGAAGGAAGGAGGATTTCGCCGATCACGGGGTGAGTTTTTGCTTCCCCCTCTTCCTTTCGAGTCCTGGCCTGCCCGCGTCCTTGCTCAATTTCCCCCCGATTTGGTGCTAATTGGGTGCGCAAATCACGCTAGGGTTTCAGCGCAGGTTCTGCAGTTGTTTTGCTACTCAGTGAGATGCTTGTTGTTATCAGGATGCTTGTACTGTTTGGCTTAGCTTATGTGCTGACCATGACGGTTAGACTGTGCTGCTGTTGCTTGTTTGGTGGGGGAGTGACTAGACTGGACCTGTTTCTTTGCTGTGGTGTTGCTTGTGGGATTTGGTGTAGCTATTGGACTGTCTGTGTTGGTTGATTGTTGCCTGATTAGACTTGTGACGCTGATCTCCCGTGGGTGCGTGATAGTATACGCCAAGAATCTGAGGTCAGGGCAGATTTGTAGTGTGGCCGCCTGGGCGGCGTGTGCTTCCAAGGATATTACTTGTGCCCCTCGTCTCCCAGGCTCCCAATTCCCATCCTCTTTGGCTCTTCGCTGCCCAAAATCTGCCCACTTCCACCGCCACTCTCCTCTAGTCCTCTGCCGCTGCCGCTGCCGGGAATTCATGTTAACTATTTTTTGGTGCGTCACATCAGGATCTCATAAGGTCGAGTTGTTTTGTTCAATAATACCGTTTGTATGCTCCGACATATCTTCTTGGCTGTGATTCAGGTATCTACTTCTTGTGTAATTTATCACCTAGGGATCTGCAGCTATATTTGGTAAACATTAGCTCATGTATGTTAGTATACTGTGTTCATGTGGAGAAATGCAATTACTACGTTCCAGAAAAATTCCATGCTCTCATTTTCTTACTTCCTTGGATAACACATATCCTGCTCTGTGTGCCACTGTGATCTGTGAGTTTTTTTCTAATAGATACCAATTCTTCTCTTTTGCAGTCTGTAGTCAATTTGTCAGTTTATTGAGATATCCAACTTGCATGACTTGATCAACAAGCGCATCCCTAGTTCCTGATGGAGGCATCATCTTCCTTGCGCTTCCAAGTTTCTGGTTTTAGTTTGCCCAAGATATGGCTATGCCTTTTTCTGGTACTCGTTCTTCAGAACTGCAGCCCAGCACTTTCAGATTCACCATATTTGGTTGGTATGGGGAGCTATGACATAACAGGGCCAGCAGCAGACGTTAACATGATGGGATATGCAAATTCTGAGCAGATCGCTTCAGGAATTCACTTTAGGCTAAAGGCTCGTGCGTTTATCGTTGCTGAGCCTAACGGCAAGCATGTTGTGTTTGTAAATCTTGATGCTTGCATGGCATCACAGATTGTTACAATAAAGGTGCTTGAAAGGCTCAAAGCAAGGTAAGAGTGATCACTCTTGAATCTTATATTCTAGATAGTCTCATTTCAACACTATGTGATAAATGACAAAATGCTTAGCCATTTTACATTCCACTGCACAGAGGAGTCCAGACATAATGTTGATTAGATGGACCATTATATATTTTGTAAAAGTAAGTTTTTCCCTTGCACCGTCAATTTGGCAGGTATGGAGATCTTTATAATGAGAATAATGTGGCTATCAGTGGAATCCATACGCATGCTGGTCCTGGTGGTTACCTGCAGTATGTAGTTTATATTGTCACATCACTTGGGTTTGTTCGTCAATCTTTTGATGTGATTGTCAATGGAATTGAGCAATGCATTGTTGAAGCTCACAACAATCTCCGTCCTGGGAAAATCTATGTGAACAAAGGTACAAAATTATGTCTGTTTTCTGGGGCCAATTAGGTTTTCCCAAACACTACCGAGATTAACTCAGCATTTTTTTAATTCATTCAATTCCTCTCTAATTTAAATTGCATTTAGTTTTAAGTAGGACTCCCAATGTTACTACTTTATCCCTGGTTGGTTAATTGATTGTTGAGTTTGGCCAGTCGGCAAGCCCACAGTGATCAATGTCCTGAGATATTACTAGATGTTCTACTTGCTGTGTGAAGGCTGCTTCACTGGGATCTAGTTACAGCTAATATTTTGTGACCACATGATTTTCAGGTGACCTCCTTGATGCCGGTGTGAATCGCAGCCCAAGTGCATATCTAAATAACCCCGCTGAAGAGAGAGGCAAGTATAAGTATGATGTTGATAAAGAAATGACCCTCGTCAAGTTTGTAGATGACGAATCTGGTCCAGTTGGGAGTTTCAATTGGTTTGCAACCCATGGAACATCTATGAGTCGTACAAATTCTTTAATAAGTGGTGATAACAAAGGAGCAGCTGCACGTTTCATGGAAGATTGGGCAGAACAAAATGGCATTCCAAAACAGGCAGCTCATGGAAATCATGGTGGTTTGGAATCTTTACACATGACCTCTGGACTTCCAAGAAGAGTCTCTTCGATAATTCCTGAACCAAACGAGATAAGTATGTTCCATACTTCTTGACTGCATAAATTTTGTATTGAAATGAAATATTTTAGGTTGTTGCTAAACTACTCTTATAATTGTTTTTGGTCAGCTGATGACTTAGTGCAAATGGCGTCATCCTACGAAGCCTCAGGTGGCCGGCGATTATCTGGTTCAAGTATCACCAGGCGCATTAGAAGCCCTCAACAAAACAGACCTAAATTTGTTTCTGCATTCTGCCAGTCAAATTGTGGTGATGTTAGTCCAAATGTCCTGGGAACTTTCTGTATAGACACTGGCCTTCCTTGTGACTTCAATCACAGCACATGCAATGGGAAGAATGAACTATGCTATGGACGAGGACCAGGGTATTCACCATATTTACAAGTCATTATAATTATAGCTTTCATATTTTTGTATATTTGGAAGAATTTATTTATTATCGATGAATCCTTGCTGTGTTGCAGATATCCTGATGAATTTGAAAGTACCCGTATCATTGGCAATAGGCAGTTTCAAAAGGCTGTAGATCTTTTTAATTCAGCTTCTGAAGAAATACAAGGCAAAGTTGACTTTAGGCATACTTACCTAGATTTCTCACAACTTGAAGTGAATATTCCTACAAGTACAGGAGGTCAGCAAGTTGTGAAAACATGCCCAGCAGCCATGGGGTTTGCCTTTGCCGCTGGAACCACAGATGGTCCTGGAGCTTTTGACTTTAAACAAGGAGATCCCAAGGTTGATCATACTAATCAAATGAGCCTAACAAGTTTCACTAACATGGTATTGACTGGTTTATACCATGTCTTATCAGGGAAACACTTTCTGGAGGTTAGTAAGAAACTTACTTAAGAAACCAGGGAAGGACCAAGTCCAATGTCAAGCACCAAAACCAATCTTGCTAGATACTGGTGAAATGAAGGAACCATATGATTGGGCGGTATGTCTTCCTTTTTTCAACAATTGTACAGCTTCTAGTTTTCACAGCAAACGCAAATTCCTTAGTTCATTTGATAGTTGACACCGAGGTCGCCATCAATACAGAACATCTGTTGCTTAATCAAATCACTACCCCATAGGCTGGTATATCATTCTTTTCTAGTATTATTAGTGACGTTGTGAGTCTCATTTGATCATTTCTTCCAAGTCTTAACTGATCTTGAGCTTTGTTTTAGAGCATAATCATAGGCAGTATCAATTTGCCAAAATGATTCTTCTTTTCGTGAGTGGTGGGTGGGTGGGGTGGGGTGGGGAGGGGGGCTTTACTAGCTTCCTCGTTTTTTACATCTTGTACTTCTTTATTATCTTAATGGAATGGCACAGAGCTCTCCTGCATTTTTTGAGGGAAAAAATGATATTTCTCTTATATCAGCTGTGAAACCAAGTAATTAAGTCCGGCTTACTGAATTTGTTTGTTGGTACTGCGCTGACTCATGTATTATTATTATGCAGCCTGCAATTCTTCCAATTCAGATCATAAGAATTGGCCAGCTGGTTATCTTGTGTGTCCCTGGAGGTAAATTTCCAATTCCTCATTTATAAGATATTTGCCAAGCAAAGACCAAAGAATGCATGTGATGTGTTGATACTATTGATATTTATTGTGGACATCCCTATGCTCATGACATGCATTTTGTATGGTTATGTTTTGGTTCAGAATTCACAACAATGGCTGGCAGGAGGCTACGTGATGCTGTCAAAACTGTACTTACAAGTGACAACAGTGGTGAATTTAATAATATTCATGTTGTTCTTGCGGGGCTAACAAATACCTATTCTCAGTATATTACAACCTTTGAAGAATATCAGATCCAAAGATACGAGGTATGTATATGCCCAGCTCATTTGATGTTCAGTCTGAGAACATAATACAGAATGGAATAACGATAGTTAGCTTGATGTTTGGTGGCCCTTCCACAATTATAGTTAATGTCATTTTTTAACTGCCTTAGTAGCAGCATGTTCTGGCTATAGCTGAATTGGCGCTGTCATTGAGATTCATTCCCTTTTGTTTTCATGCTTTTCCCCTCATCCCTGCCATTCTAGAAATCAAGCAGTCTGGAGCATGGTCCTCTTCAATTTGTTTGGGGGTGTGCACCGAAATTAACCATCCTGTTTTGTAGACCCCTGGATGCATTATTGGAAGTTCTTTCAACCGCGTCAGCCCCCTTGTATTTAGCGTCACAAAAGGAGAATTCTATATTTTTCTCCTTTTGTTGCAAGTGTTCATGTCCTTTTGTTTCCTTTATTTTGCATGTCTGCACAGTGCTTGGTAGAGAAGTTCTAATATTGAAGTCCATTCTAGATATATTGACATTTCAAACAAATAAATGCTTTTTGCCAGGGAGCATCAACGTTGTATGGCCCCCACACCTTGAGTGCCTACATTCAGGAGTTTCAGAAACTTGCTACAGCCATGGTTGCAAACAAAGAGGTCCCAACAGATTTTCAGCCACCAGATATGCTGGACAAGCAAATAGGACTCCTCCCAGGTGTTATGTTTGACTCCACACCTCATGGGGTGAAGTTTGGAGATGTCAGTTCAGATGTTCCTGCAAACTCAACTTTCAGTAAGGGCAGTATTGTGAATGCTACATTCTATTCAGCCTGCCCAAGGAATGACCTTCTTACAGATGGTACATTCGCATTTGTTGAGAAGCTGGACGGTAGCAACAACTGGGTTCCTGCCTATGACGACGATGACTGGTCACTACGCTTCAAGTGGTCAAGACCTTCAAGGTTGAGTTCAAGAAGCTTTGCAACGCTGGAATGGACCATTCCTGAAGATGCCCCATCGGGTGTTTATAGATTGAGGCATTTTGGTGCCTCCAAACCACTGATTGGGTCCATCGAACATTTTACAGGGACCTCTCGGGCGTTCGCAGTGCTTTAGGTAGTACACCATTGCGTTCGACGGCACACCTGTCAGAGAACCTACACCGGGTCATATTTACATTGCATACGATGTTTTCCCTATGGTTTTTACATGTGCTTGATATTAATAGCGTTGTCCATCTCTTCACTCTCTCTGGTCATATCAAACCGCTATCACTACGGTAATGTACATAGCTATAGACTCGAGATGTGTGAAATGTTAGGGGGCGTTTGGAACAAAGGATTTTCGTAGGGAAATCAAAGGAAACAAAAACGCAGGTTATGGAAGGACAATAGAGCGTTTGGAACACAGGAAAGTAATATTTCCTTTCCTATGGAACACTGTAGCTTCTCTGCAGTTTCATGGGAAAGCAAAACTCCACTCCAATCTCTGGTTTCTTATTCCTTCGCGGAAGTCTGAGGTGACTACGGCAATAATTCATCAGATGCATGGTTGTCTGCTGCTAAAAGCGGGTGGAGGTGGATGAGTAAGTGCATAGGTCCCACAATAGTAACATGTTACAATTAGTATCCATATTTGCCTAACATGTTACAATTCCTATGTTATAAATTCATGTGTTCCAAACAATCTAAATTTTTTTTCCTGTGTTTTGAAATCCCGTAGTTTTTCACTTTTTATCATACCTTATTCTTGCATTTTTTCTTATTCCTGCGTTTTGGATTCCTTCGTTCCAAACACCCTCTATTTGCCATGCCAATTGAGTGACATGCCCTAGCTAGTTACTAGGATATAGTGCCTACTCTGTTTGCATTGGTAACCTCTACTGGTGGGTTATGATGAGACCTTCCTAGTTCCTAGATTTCTGCTAGTGTATGATCATGAGTACTCTTCGGCACTTTTCAAGTTCTCTTAGGGCTTGTTTAGATGCAAAATTTTTTGCAATATGAGTATTGTAGCGTTTTCATTGTTATTTGGCAAATAGTGTCCAATCATAGTCTAATCAGGCTTAAAAGATTCGTCTCGTGGATTTCGTCTAAACTGTATAATTAGTTTTATTTTTTATTTATATTTAATATTTCATGCATGCGTCCAAAGATTCGATGTGACGGAGAATGCAAAAAATTTTGCAAAATTTTTTGCAAACTAAACTGAACCTTACTTCGATTGTTATTGCAAGGTCCGTCACCTTCAAAGTTATTCCTTTTATTCGATGGCCCATTATCTATGTGCTTTTGAGATGGCCTGTTAGCATATCACGGGGACTGCGAAGGCAACTCAACTCTTGTCTCAGCGACACTTCTGCAGATAGATAAGACCAATGCAGTAGATGTATATCGCATTTTCTTTGGATCACTATCACTTCATGTTGTCCACGTTAACATGATCATGGATATGATCTAAGTGACACTATAACATGATCAGTGATACTTGTGTTTATACTAAATAAGATAGTGTATGAGGTGTTTACATGAAACTTGTGTTATCATTGATCTCACTTAGTATTCTATATATAGTTCGAGTCATTGACATTGACTAGTTAAAATAGACGCGGTTGGAGCTAGGCTAACCCAACACCTCGGGCTACTTTGTGGGCCGATTTTGCTGGATAGATTGGAGCAATATGCTACAGATAGAAAACATAGGCCAATGCCTAGGGCCATTTCCTAGTGGCCCTAGGCTTCCCTCCACCTACACCGATAATAGATAATAATGAAAATATCTACTAGCAAATAAACACCAAAAAGAACCATAAAAGATTTAAATAACTCCAAACTGAGCAACAAAAATATAGAGCATGGTTTAAGGGGGAAAGATCTGAAATAGGGTTCATATTTTGTAAGATGCAACAAATTTTCTAAAACTAAATGAGATATTAGGATTTGTAATTGCATAACTCGTGGCCCCACATAGCTTCAAACCACCGCCTAAATCACCCAGGGTACAAGAATAAATAGTTTTAAACAGTTAAAATAGAGGGACCAGTGTCTCATTCATTTTATAGATAAGGAAGGCAATTTTTGACTTGTAACATAGTTCAGAGTGGGTAAAAAGGACCTTTTTCGAAGAGAGAGGAGTGGTTTTTAGCCCTTTAATTAATGTCCAAGTTTGCTTTTGCCATTGCAGGGATCGTGACTCTAAGACTAAGAGGGTAGTAAATTAGGCAACTTAAAAATTAACGGTCTCTATTTTCTACTTGTCAAAATCTATGCAAGATCTATATCTAAATGTGCATCTAGGTCTTGCTAAGTGTGTTGCTATCTTTACCAGCAAAAGAGTTATGCAACCTAGGTTTCAATCATATCAACTAACTTAGCAAGCTAAACTAGTAAAGTGAGCACAAAACCTAGGAAAGCATGTAAACTGTGGAAGCTTAAACGAGATAGCGATGCAAACTCCCGTTGACGATGGTTTTTCCCCGAGGATATCAAGAAGTTTGCGGTTCCTCCTTGTCCTTATTGATGCCCCTCGTAAGGATGTCCTCAAAAGGGTTAAACTCTTGGTTGGGTAACTCTATGGAGCCCGCTGGTCTTCTTTTCCATGCGCAAGTGGATCTCCTCTAGACCTGCTCTCATACCGCTCCCTATCGTTTTCACTGTCGAGTTTCCGACCAGAACGTTGCGGACCTCGTTCCTTGGTGCAACATAGGTGGCCTCTCCACAATCATTTTAACTGATCAATCATTTTTTTTGGGTCTCAAGATTCACACAGTTGTTTAGAAACAGCGCGGTTTCTTTCTCATCCTCGTCATCGAGGATCCATCGATCGATCAGTTCCATCAGAGTCTCAGTTTCTTCCCCCATCATAGCTCACCTCCTTTGCTCAGTCACAATGAGTGGCATTCTCGATCAAAAGACGGACTCGATTGCCCGAGGACTCCTTCAGTTCTACAGCTTCTGCTTCTGCCACACAGACCCCCACCCAACCCACCGAAACGAAGCAAATTTTCCCTCCGCTCCAGACAGCCCGCAGCGGCAGCAGTCAAGAATCAAGATCCGCGAAATCCTACGCATCGCTCGGCTCCATCATTGCACCCGCAGGCCTCTGCAGTTTTGTCATCAGCACGATGCAGTAGCAGTGCAGCGCAACAACTTTTTTTGTTTTGTTTCGACAGCCTGTTCACTTTTATTGGTTTCAGCCAGCCTAAACAATCCAGTCAATAGTGTTTTTTTCTTATAAAAAATCAACACCAATCAACCTAAACCAGCATCAGCCCAAACCAACGACCAGGCCCCAAAGGGCATGATGGTGGTCGCTGTGGCCCCCCACGCCGCGTCCGGCCTCAGCTGTCAGTCAGCTCCTCCGCCTCAGACGAGACTGAGATGCACGCTGGGTAGGGGGCTGGGCGCGCGCGGGCAAAAGCCCCCAGCTCGCCTCGGTTTCGCCGCTGATGCTGACGACGATGCACGGCACAAGTCGTAGCTTTTGCCTGCTAACTTTGTTTAGTTACAGCCGGGACATGGTTTAAAAGACCTGACCTGAATGAAAGCCAGCCAAAGGTCAGACTAAACAATGCGTTTCCCGGCCTCTTTCCGTGGCCAAAGCGGGTGTAGCTTTGGGCCATTCTCGCGGCCTTTTTCCCCCGGCCAGCCTCCCACGCAACGCAACGCAGCGCAGGTGACGGCCGCCGGCCAGACCCAGACGGGGAAGGACAAGGCAAACAAAGGCGCTGCCAGACGAAGGCAAAAGGGGCGGGGAAGAGAGCAGCAAGGCCTTGTTTAAGATTGAAAAAAAACGATGAAAGGGCGTCTTATTTGGTAAATATTATTTAAATAAATATTTGGTAAAACTGACCACGCAAAAGATTCAGATTGCTAAAAGAGGGGCGGTTATTTTTTTTAAACATTTAAGACGACGATGTGATTGGAGAAGAATGAAAAAACTTGGAATTTTGAGGGTATCTAAACAAGCCCCAAGCACGGACGGAAATGGCAGCGGGCGCGGGGGGTAACAAAAGCCGAAAGAGATGGGCGCAGCGCGGTTCCCCAGGACGGACGACGAGCGACGAGACCCCTCAGAATCACGCACAGATCTTTGTCTTGGTCACCCTCACCGCACTACGATCGCTCCCTCCCCCATCTCGCCGCCACCGGCTCCATCATGACGCCGCGACGCAAGGCGGGGACCCCGGCCTTTTCCGTGATCCGGTCCCGTTTCGTTCTCGTCTCGTCTCCCTCAACACTCCACAGACCACAGGCACAGGGAGTCAGGCACACACACGGCCTGGGCGCCTGGGTGGCTTTGCACTTGCACGGCACTCGGCACAGGCCAAAAAAAAGGGCAGGCGAGTGACCAGAGTACGTGCTCCTCCTGGCAGGCAGATGAGATGTGATGTGACTACAGGTTTTGTACTAGCACCTCTTACACGCTGCACAGTGACCTGCAGCAGACCGTTGTGCTGGAATGCAATCTGACACGAGATGGAAGACGAAACTCGACGACGAAAGAGCGGGAAAATACCGCGAGGTTATGAGTTTCAGCAAAATGCATGACAATTGTGACAACGAACGAACATGTCGAGATTTGCTTGAACATGTCGAGATTTGCATAAGGCTGAGCACCTAGCTAGTAATTACAGGTCCTGTTGCAAGTCTCTTGTACAAAGCGTCGAACCAAAAAGAGAGAAAACAAAAAAGGTGGTGAAGAGACACAGATCCACGCTTGTACATGGGGGAGGTGGCTAAAGGAGCCTAAAAGGAGCTCTTTCCCCACGCCTAAAACCACCAAAAGAACTCGCTCAAACACATAAACAAGCCTAAAGGACGCTCGCTGATTCAACCGACCGCTGCATGTTCTTGACGAGCCTTTAGCAATTCGTACTTGCGGCGGCAGCAAGTTCGTCGTCTTTTCCTCGCGTCCTTTGCGAAATTCAGCGCGAAGCTTCGGCCGCCTCCGCCGGAGTCCCGGAGCGGAATGGCGGATGGCGAAACCCAGCGTCGTCGTCGTCGACGCTGCTTACGGCCCTGGGTCACTCCGCGATGGCACCAGCGACGTGTCCACCTCCGAGACGGACGCTGCAAGAAACGCAAGTGGCGCGCGCGTCAGCTTGAGGGGAGCAG